CTCCACTGCACAGTCCTTCTTCATTGTGGGAAAGGTCAGGAGTGAGAGTCAGACCCGTCTGAGATCAGCTGCCTGTAGCTGCCATGTCCTTTCTGCTGGCAGACAGGGCATGTTCAGAGTGATTTCCTCCTCTCAGGTTTTCAAATATTTTGCCCCAGAGGCAGACAACATGTTTGGACAACGCTCTCAGGCACATGGTGGGACTGCTGGGGTGTCTGTGCAGGGCCAGGAGTTGGACTGGATGGTCCCTGTGGGTGCCTTCCAGCTCAGAATTTTCTGTGATCTGTAAGAGCTGTTCAGTCAGGACCAGGCTCAGCACGGTGCAGTCCTCAAGTTCCTGGAGAGAGGAACAGTGCTTGAGAAACAACCAGGCAGGGAAGGAACAGGGAGCACAGGGACAGCACAGCTCGAGAAGAATCTGCTGGGCCTGTGCCATGGGCTGGGTGCAAGGGACAGGCAGAGAGGAAGGAGGGATTGGGGGAGGAAAAAGGGAGTGGAGGAGGAAGGAGGTGGGAGAAGATGCTGGGTGGAGATAACAGGGGAGCAGCAGAGGTGCTGTGCAGTCACCTGTCCTGTACTCTTTGTGGTACCCCATGCCACATGGAGGGCCTGGCCCACGCCACATTTGACATTTTGTACAGATTTTGCTGCCAGATTTAAGCTTCAGGATTTGCAGAAGTCTTCTAAACGTGCAGCAACAACAGAGCCAGTGGAACACCCTCAGGGAGTCCAGATGTTCATGATTTCTCTTCCTTTTTGGACATTTTGGACTGTGAGGGGGAGTGCTCTGGAGGCAGTTCCGTGAGCTCTCTGCCCGTCAACTCTCACCCAGCAGTGGTCATTTGGAGTGAGCTGTGGAAACCAGGAGAGGAAGGGAAAGCTTCTCCTGCAGGAATTTATCCCCTACTCCCTTGAGATTCAAGTGTGAAGGAAGGTTGTGTGAGTGCAGCAGCCCTGCTGGGAATGGTGGGGTTTGGGGATGCTGTGGATGTCCTGCACCAGCCCAGGAGGGCTCAGTGGTTACAGTGGGAACTGGAGTCCCAACCCGCAGCCTGAGCCAGCCAGGGACATGGCAGGAGCCCAGCTGGCACCAGCAGCTGTTCAGCATCTGCAGGCAGAGGAAGCCTGGAGAAAGCAGAGCTCCCTCCTCCCCAGCCCGAGGGAGCAGGGCTGGAAGGGTCACAGCACCTGGCACTGCTCAGAGGCCCCTGGGCCCAAGGGAGAGCTGAGAGCCTGGCTGAGCATGTGGAGCAAAGGGCTGGGTTCTCTCATCAAAAGGAGGTGCTGCTGCTCCTGCCACAGCCCCCACCCCCTCAGATGTGGAACAGCAAGAGGAATTGGATACTGAGGCACTGAGGGGCTCGGAAGGTGAGGGAGAAGGTTTCAGCAGGGTCAGACAGGTTGGTTGGGCAGTCCTGCTGCAGGCTGGAAGCCTCTGAGCCGTGTCATGAGCTCCTTCTGCTTTGCTCATACATCAGGCCTGCCTTGGCCACCCACAACTTTTGGGGCTGGGGGCAGCACGGGTGTTCTGGGGGTCTGTGTGGGCAGCACAGAGGGGCCTCAGCTTTCCTTGTACCTGCAGCAGCAAAGCTGAGAAGAACAGGAGAGGTTTCTGGTTGAAGCACTCGTGGGAAGACCTGTGAGCACTTTGCCGAGCTCAGCCCACCCAGAGGAGAACAGATCCCTCTGGATGCAGAAACCGCAGCCTGGGCAAGAGAGAGGGAGCTGAAATTCTCTTGGGAAAGGGAGGGCAGAGATCCTGCAGTGCTGGGGGGGTACTGTGCTTCTGGAAGAACAGGCACACGTGTTGCTCACAGGACATGCAGAGGAGTTCTCACAACTTTCCCTTTTTACCTTTAAGTTGCAAGAGAACTCAGAGGGAGGGGGTTTTACTCTCTGTCTTACCAGCCCAGGTGAACAGTTCTTTTCCAGTGGTGACTTTTCCCTGGATACAGATTGCCTCTTCCTTGTCTCCACCTTCCAGATCCCTCTTTCTCTTCTAGACTGACACATTCCACCCTACTTCCAAGCAGCCTGACTGTTCCCAGCTCTGTGCTGTGGAGCCTGAGGGGCTGAGAAGCTGAAATCTCAGGATTATGAGGGTTGAGAAAGCTCTGGAATGTAAAGTGAGTTCATTCATTCATTCCCACAGGGATTCTGCACATTCTCCCAAGCATCCCTTCCTTTCTTCCCGGGAAAGATTTTTGGAATTGTTGGGTGAATTTGAATTTTATCCTTAGTTTTAACTTAGGATGAGTTTTAACTCATTTTCATTTATGGCAAACTATAGACTTGTGTGACTCTTTGTCTCAGAAGTATTTAGAAAACGTTTTGGCATTTTCAGAATGTGAAATTACTTTTTTTTAAGTAGATGGTAATTTTCTTTCCAAAGTTGGACATTTCTAGAGTAGAACAGAAGGGGCAGATTTTGAAAATGGGATGAAAATCAACACAATTTTTTTGAGAAGAATCACAAATGAGAGCCCTGTCAGAGCTATGAGTGCACTGAGCACACAGGGAGGACCTTGAGATGAAGAACTGTGGAGATGGTGGTGGTCATGGCATGATGGATGGAGATGGGAGAACCCAGGAAAGACAGGTCTGGGGTGAAGGGGAGTCAGTCAGGGGGAGAGCTGGGAAGACAGCACAGGTTTCTGGTGATAAAATAGCTGAGAATACAACAGGAGGAAGGCAAAGCAGATCAGTGAGACAATCAGCTGAGAAGGAAATGTGAGTGACAGAGGAGGGCAAAAGGAATGTGGGAAGTGTGGTGCTTGGAGAGTCCTGGCTGGGTAGAAGGGCAGAGAGGCACCCTGTACCTGAGCTGATGATGGGCTGCTCTGGTGGCCACTGGAAACCTGCTCCCAGGTCAGCTGTGGAATCTGTGTGGGAGCAGAGAAGGGCCCTGAGCCTGCAGCAGTGAGGAGTGGGCTCATCACAGCTTTGTCTGGCCAAGGTCACCACAGGCAGCGATGGCAGCAGGGAATGCACATCCCTGCTGATGTTCAGGGGGCACACGGAGAGCTGGCAGTGTCCAGGGACATGTGGGGTGACATGTCCATCTGTCACCATTCCTGAGGCACCTCAGAGGTACAGCAGGGTCTGTTCTCCCTGCTCTGTGTAGGGACGGAGGCTCCAGCAGAGCAGTGGAGCAGAGAGAGGGGGTCACTGAACTGCCCTGGCTGCAGCACCACAGCCCCCCTGACCTCTCAGCAGCAGTCAGCAGGCCCTTGCAAGTGTGACTGCTTTCATTACAGTAATGAAATGTTAATTTGGACACTGAAAGGGGAGTCAAGTTTGAGACAGTTCCATCTGAGCAGACTGGGCTCTGTGAGCAGCAAAAAGGTGGGTCTGTAACACAGGTCATCTGACACTGAAATAGGTATGGTGGAAGAGGGATGGTTTGCATCTGCCTGGGGTCTTTTTCTCTCTGATAATTACAAAATAAGTCTAAACAATTAGATTACATTGTATCCCCTATGACATTTTACCACAGCTATTTCACTACTGATCATTTCAGCAGAAACAGCCAGCCCCTGTTGATTCCCAAGGCCTGTAATCCCCAAGTGCCACTCAGCTGTCCAAGTCTTCCCCTTTTTTTCATAAACATAATTACTTAAGTACTGTATTCCCAAAGTTCCTTGCTACAGCAAGACCCAGGAGTAGCATCACAAGCAAACAGAGTGAGTTAAGTGTTGAGCACAACTCCAGACCGAGCTGGCTCCCTTGTTTAAGAGGCTGGAGGTTCTTTGGGAAAGGTTTAACCTCACAGCATGTAAGTACAGACTGCTCATGGTCTCTTGGGTGTTTTTCCTCACAGATTCCCACAGTCATCAGGTAAATTCTTGAGTTTCCTACCTGACATAGACTTCTTGCAGAGAGTACGGCCAAGGCAGGCTTGTGCTCTCCTGGGTTTTGGGTCTTCCTCCCTGGGTGCTGGTGCTTTTGCTTATTCGTTGATGCAGAATAAGTTTTTCCCTTTGAACTTAGGTCTAGATTTCTGGAATATTGTAGCAACAGTCCTTGCTGTGTATGTGTGCCAAAGTTGTTTATATGCCATTCTGCTGCTCCAAAACAAAATGCCACAGTGTAAGAGGTGGCAGTGCTGGTGTGGCTGCAGGGATAGAGGCAAACTGTAATGTTACCATATCTCAGCACTGTAGTTCCAGATCACATCTGTCAAATAATGCACTCAACTAATACTGTTTAAACAGCCAACTGCAAACATTTGCTATTAGGTTAATTCAGTGGAAAAATTGCACTTTCAACACACTGACCAAAACAGAGCTAAATGTATCTTTCAGCTCACAAGGGAGCTCTGCACCCAGCTCTTTCCTGACTCCAGCTCATCCGTATTCCTCTGGCACATGGCTCTCCTGCTCTGCTCTCAGTCTTCCAGCACAGCCCTGATTTCTGTGCCTCCTGCCCCCCACCTCTGCTTCCCCCAGGGACCTGCTGCTGCCCAGCCCCGTGGACTCCAGTCCCTGTCTCACTGCACTTGTTGCCAGCCACAAACCCAGCTGAGTTCCCCCATGGCCCTGCTGCCCACCCCAGCTTCTGAGCTGCAGGATTGTTCACAACCCAGTGCTCCTTGTCTTACTCAGGAAAGGCAGCAGAGACTGGAATTTGGCAGAACTGGGTGTCAAATGAATTCACCGAGCTTTGCTCACAGGCTAAGAAAGAACAGGATGTGCTAAAGGATGTGCCCGAGGGAGTGGCAGTGTGCAGCCTCCCAGACCTGTGTGCAGATCCACAGGGATCCCCACACACACCCCAGCAGGGGCTTCCCTCCAGTGTCAGCGTTGTCCCTCTGCCATGCCAGGCCTTGTCCTGGCGTACAGTGAGGCAGGACCCCCAGCCCAGGCAGCAGTGACGTGCCCGAGGCTTCCCCAAGGCTGGCCTCGCGGCGCTGCCCCGCTGCTGTACAGCCTGCAGTGTGCACGTGTGCTGCTTCCCTGCATACTCTGTGTAATTCTTCTGAACTGATTTCTCCCAAACAGAGCCTTACACCTGTGGAGCTTGTGGAATCCAGTTCCAGTTTTATAACAATCTCCTGGAGCACATGCAGTCCCACGCAGGTAAGCCGGGCACTTGGACTGGCTGCAGGCGGAGAGTTCAATTCTGCGCTGCTGCCTGTGCTGACCCCGATGTGTGTCCACAGGGCTCTCTGTGCTCCCCCTTCCCAAGGCCCCAGTCATTTCACCTGCAGCAAACACGGACCCTCAAAGGCTAGAGCACCTAGGCTCAGGGTACATCCTAAATATTACTCCTTTCCATAGGAAGAGAAGGATCGTGCCATGCTAGCGCAGAGCACATCACACTACTCGTGCCCTTTATCCAAAGGTATCTGGAGAATCCTCAGTGCATAAGCTCCTGCAGCAGCTTAAATCCTTCCTCCTTCTCCCAGAGGGGTAGTTCTCATGGCAGCAAACAAACCAAAAACACTTACAGGGCATCAGAGCCTTTGTCCACACAAGTCCTGTCCTGTGCTTGTGTCTACTGGAATTCTGCAAAGGACTGAAATTCTCAGAAGAAGAATTTGCCATTTCAGCAGTTGTGTTCATTTCCCTCACAGCTTCCTACAAAAGAAAATTCTGAGGAGTCATTCCAGTACTTTGTTTCTAAGTCACTGTTTTTGTTTTCTGTCTTGATACATAAAAGATGATTTTAAAATTTCAAAGCCAGAGCTCTTTCAAAGACATCATTCAGCACATTCAAAATGCAGAAATGGGAGATTTTTTTTATATTGGCAGATTTTTTTCTTTTTTTTTCTCTTCAATAAAAATTCAGGGGAACTAACACAGGTTTAAAAACAGGTAAATGCCCTTTGGCAGACCTGTGGTCTCCAACAAACAGCTGCTCTGTTGAGATGCAGATTTGATGCAGGCCCTGAGGAGAGTGGCAAGGGGGGATGAGGGGTCTGAGAAAGAGTATTTTTCATTCTGTAACAATAATTCTAATGAAAGTTCTTTCTTGTTCTGTGGTTTAGCTTGAGTCCTAATTTTAATAGTGTTCCTTGAGTTCTCCATCCACGAGGTTCCTCTATCCAATTCAGTTCCTGTTGGCAAATGGTAATGCAGGCTTTGGGTGTTGTTCAGCAGCTGATTTATTTATCATCTTTATAATGTTACAAAGAGACTTTTAAAGCGATTTGTTTGGAGAAGGTGTGAGTTTTGGTTTCAGTAAAAGCATGAGCTGGTTCCTCTGCAGTGGTGGGATCCTGTGTCACCCTGAGCAGTGGAGCGCCACTCAGGGCTGCTGTCACTCTGTGGTGGTGGGGTCTGTCCTTGCTAGTTCTCCATGGCAGTTTCTGCTGCCTCCACATGGTGTCCTGACCATCCTGTTCCTTGCTCTGGGCTGTGGCACTGAAATGCAGCATTTTGAGTTTCAGCTGCTGGTGGCACTGAGTAGAGGAGCTGCAGAGGAGAGCCCAAGCTGAGGGGTCCAAGGGGAGAATGGCAGCTCACAGGCAGGGTGTGAGCTGTTGGAAATTTTAATCCAATGCTGCTGGCAGCTTCTTCCTTCTCTCTTCTTTACAAGTGACCCATGGGGAGGGCTCCAGGGAGGGTGGGGAGGCCCTGGCACAGGTTGCCCAGAGAAGCTGTGGCTGCCCCATCCCTGGAAGTGTCCAAGGCCAGGCTGGACGGGGCTTGGAGCAACCTGGGCTAGTGGAAGGTGTCCCTGCCCATGGCAGGGGGTGGAACTGGATAATCTTTAAGGTCTCTTCCAACCTAACCCAGTGTGTGGTTCTGTGATTGGTCACCTGGGTTGCTTTGGGCACAGAACGGGGCTGTAGGGGTGAGCTGTGTCTGTGATCTGACTCCTGTGCAGTTGTATCCTGCAGAGCTGTATGAATGGGTAAATCCCTTCTCCCCACAGGAGCACATGTACTCCCCTTCTCCCCAGCTCAGGATTACTCTTGTTAAACTATTTTCTCATCTCTCCCTGCTCTGTTTGCAAGTCCCTGTCTTCTGCTTGGCTGCTTCTTCCCGAGTGTCTCACCAGGGCAGTGACAGTGAGCTTCTCCCTGTCTTCTTCAAGTGGCTGTCCCTTTAGGAGCTGTCCCTTGTGAAAGCCACCATCCCCTCCTGTGGCATCTCTGTGTGTGGTGCTTGGCAGCCCTGTGCTCACAGCTCTGCCTCTGGAGGGAGAGCAGCCTTTCCCCCTCGTGGGCAGCCGGGGCAGTGGGTGTGGGACGTGCTGCTGTGGGATGGGGGCAAAGCGAAGTGAAGACACGTGAAAACTACATCCAGTGTTGATGGGTGTCCAGCTCTGGGTGCTGTACACGAGCAGAGGACAGTGGGGACCACACAGGGCTGGAGTTACTCTGGCAGAGGTTTGTTGCCTTCTACTCTGACAGGAGGTTGGAACCAGGTAGGGGTCGTTCTCTTCCCCCAGGTGACTTGAGGACGTGGTTTAGTGCAGTGGTGAACATGGTGGTGGTACTGGGTTGATATTTGGGTTTGATGACCTTAATGGTCTTTTCCAATCTAAACAATTCCATGATTCTGTGATTCTGTTATTTCCATATCCAAGAGCAGGTTGGCCCAACATCTCTGAAGTCTGGGAGTGCAGGGACCTTGCAGGGGTCAGCAGGACTGGTGGCTCAGGATCCACACCCTGGGGACGCTGACACAGGGGCAGTTTAGCCCAGTCCATGTGCCTGGCTCAAGGAATATTTCATTGTGGGGGTGCAGGGATACAAGAAACCTGTATGGGTCAAAGAGTCCCTCAGTTAATGTGTTCAGGAGCCCAGTTTGGCTTGTCATGTGTGATGCAGAGGGCTGATCACTTCCAACTGACTGTGCTGCCTCCCCTGAGCCCCTCACAAGGGGCTGAGGCTGGGGAACGTGCTGCTGGCCTCCAGGAGAAAACCAGGGACACAGTCATTCCCAGGGCTGAGCGTGGGGGCTGCAAGGTAATAAGGAGAGATTATAGCTCCATAAAGCAGCTACACAGTGAGGAGAAGCAATTAGAATGTAAATTGGGTGCTGAAAGGCAGAAATAGAACGGCAGAACACCAGGCAGAGGAATTTGTTCTGTAATTACGCTGTACAATATACAGCTTTGACTCCCTTTAGAGTACTTTGTTCAGGTCGAGTGCTGCCACAGAATGCCCTGCCACAGTCTAGGTCTGAGAAAGAAAAGGACGACTCGGCTGAACCTGGATTAAAGGATTGGAGGCATGAAGAGAAACTAAAGAACCATGATCTGTGTAGTTCACAGACTGCCTGATAAGGAAGATGAGGCTGAAATGCACAAATCTCATTAATGCCATACTGAATGCCAGCAGATATTTGTATATAATAAATCCCCTATTATTAGGAAATGGATAAAAGAGTTATGGTGAGGAAATACAGAGGGTTTCTACCTCTGCCCATCCTCACCAAGACAAGGAAGGCCTGAACCATGAAGTTACCTACCAAATGTCTAGCATTTTCCTTTGCCTACCCATAGATGCTTGGATTTGAGGACACTGGTGACATTAGCTCAAGAGCAATTAGTCTGGGCAGATGCTGGGGGAAAGGTGGTGTGTCATACTGGTCACTGGAGCACCTCCCGCTCTTCTTGTCTCTTCCACATCTGCAAACACCAACCTGTGGGTGCAGCAGTGCTCCCCAGGTGCCCACTAAGGCCAGGGAATTCCCTGGGCACACACAGACCTTGAGGCAGCCCCAGAGTCTAGCCTGGTCCTGTCATGTCCTGGATTGCTCTTAGGTATTGATCCAGCCTGTGCCAGTGCAGTGCCAGCCCCACTGGTGGCTGTGCAGCATGTGGCTGTTGATGAGCAGGTCTGTGAGTGTCAGAGCTGCCCAGAGGAGAGCACCGGAGCTCCATCGCATCACTGCTGGTCTCCCTTCTCTGCCAGCTCAGTGGCACACATGGAGAAGAGCAGCTTTGCCCTCTCCTGAGTGTTCTGATGGACAGAGCAGTCTGGCTGCAGAGCTGTGTGTGCTCCAGGCCCTGCTCGAGCTCGTGCTGTGCTGGCCAGAGCAGGGGGCAGTCACTGCACTGAGTGCTGGTGTGTCCAAACCAGCCTGGACCCTTTGTAATCAGTGCAGAGTCAGTGACTCCAGGTGAGTTCACACCAATGGATCTTACAGAACAAGAGGATCTAGTTCTGCCTGGGGGAATGAGCTGCACTTGGGAGTCTTGTTTGCGCCACTGAGTGTAAAAGGCTGCTTTGAAGACAGGTGTGTCTAACAGATGGCCAAAATTAGGTGAGACAAGTCCAGCTGTGGTGAGCAAAGGACCTGTTCTGTTTTCTTTGTGTTTAGTTCCATCCTTCTCTTCAGCCTGGTCATCAGTCTCTCCATCTTCCTGCTGCTTCTTCCACCTCATTTGTTTGTGCACTTCCGTGTTGCTTCACAGCCTATTTCAGATCACCGTTTCATACTGAAGCACACTAAGAACTAGAAAATTTCCTCTAGAGGGTGGGGAGAGGTTGTTGGGACACAGGAAAGGAAAAAAACATGGATATAATAGAGAATTTACTGATCTTACCTGCATTTCCTTGAAAGATCCCATCAGACTGACAGCCAAAGCATTTGGCCCAGCTCCATCCACTGAAATGGGAACACAAACAAAGACTCTGGGGGCAGTCGGTGTCTTTGCAGCCATGGGTGGGATGATCTTTGGTCCCACTCTAGACTCAGTTATTTGGCTTTGTGGCTGAAATCTGAGGCAGCAGGGAGGAGCCTCAGAGGAGACTGGCCCACTCTCTTCAGGGGAGAAAACCAGATATAAAGATTGTAATGAGACCTTTAGATCCAGAGGAGTTGAGCACAGCTTGAAAAACCAAATGCTTCACGGGAGAGAAAAGGGCAGGTGCCTGCAGTGCAGGAAGAGGCAATAAAGGGAAAAGGAGGATCAATGTCTGTTTTACCTCCTGTCATTTCGGAAGCAAGAAAATTAAACAAGTCAGGCTGCACAGGGAACTTCCATTCCTCCTGGGATGCAGCTTCAGCTCATCAGAAGACATTTCCCAAGGTGTGCTGATGGCATCAATGTCTCTGATGCACAGAAAAAGCCATTGCAGCTGCATTTGGGGAGGTGGCAGCTTATGAGTCCAAAGACAGTTTTAAGGTTTCTGAGGGTGCTGTACCAGCTCACTGAAACTGCCTAAGAACTACAGAGAGTGTAGTAACTTGTTTTCACCTTAGTTGAGGGAACCCTGAGTAACTGCTGAGCAGATGGATAGTTTCCCCTTCTTTGTGCTTTAAGCATCATCATCTTGTGCTTCTAACCCTTGCCTGTCTCTTGCCCCACAGCTGACAATGAGAACAACATTGCCTCCAGCCAGCCCAGGTCACCTCTGCCTGTGGTTGAAGAGAAGTGGAAACCACAGCTCCAAAGAAATAACGCCAACAACAGTACGTAGCAACTTTGCTCCTCGTCCTGGGCTCACCTGTCCCCTTCCAGCAGTGACTCAGAGGGGGTGCAGCAGTGATGGCCACTGCACAAGGCCCTTGTCCTCCCTGAGCTGCACTTGATTTCATCCATAATTCCTGTCCTACCTGGCAGAGCAGAGCACCCCTTCCTGTTAGGAGAGCACTCGTGTGCACAAAGAACCCTGGGAGGTGGTTGGAAAGGTTTGTGAGGAAGATGCATTTGGGAACTCCTGAAAGAAATTAACTTCTGATCTGAGGTCAGACTTCCCAGCCTGGAGTTAAAAAACTAATCCAGTCATCCTGGTGTAACATAGGCATAACAAAGCTGCTGTCTGGTTTTGTCCCCAGCTCCTCCCATGAGCTTGTTCTTCCCCATGGGAAAAGGGAGAATACAGCCCAGGGAAATCGGTTCCAAAGCACTTGAGCTGAGCAGCCAGGGGAAAGGGGGATACAAAACCGTGGTGCTTCTTTCGTTCTGGTATGGCCAAAAATGACATTCATATTGTCTGAAATCAGGGTTGGTGGAGATCAGGGAAGAAATGGGAGCTTGGGCTTCAGTACTGTTTGAGATGGTGGAAAATGTTGGATGCTTCAGAGGAGCAACTGCTCTTAAAAAAACTGTCTCAAAGAAGAGAACAAACTCACAGCAATGGAAAGATGTTCTCCTATGGAGCCAGGCTGGGAGAGCTAGGGGGGTTCACCTGGAGAAGAGAAAGTTCCAGGGAGACCTGAGAGCCCCTTCCAGGGCCTAAAGGGGCTCCAGGAGAGCTGGAGAGGGACTTTGAACAGGGGCCTGGAGGAACAGGACAAGGGGGAATGGCTTATCACTGCCAGAGGGTAGGGTTAGATGGAATATTGGGAAGGAATTCTTGGCTGTGAGGGTGCTGATGCCCTGGCACAGGTTGCCCAGAGAAGCTGTGGCTGCCCCATCCCTGGAAGTGTCCAAGGCCAGGTTGGACGGGGCTTGGAGCAACCTGGACTAGTGGAAGGTGTCCCTGCCCATGGCAGGGGAGTGGAATGAGTTGGACTTAAGGTCTTTTCCAACCTAAACCATTCTGGGATTCTATGATTCTATGTCCATTTTTCCATCTGGGCTAAGCTGTGACCATCAGGCTGTAGACATGGATAGCAAACATGGGTATAACTTACCTAGGCAGTTCTTCAGTGAACAGCACAGAGGTGCCATCAAGTGAGGCACTGGATTGGAAGTAGCGTGTGCTCTGTCTGTCCCCCACCAGGGACACCGTGCAGGTAAGCATCTTGCTGCTCTGAGCAAGAGCAAGGCCTGTCCCTGGAGGTTCCATGTCCAGAAACCTTGGGGGGAAAAAAATCCGTGGTTGGAGGTGTCTCTTCCATCATCTGGGCATGTTTCACCTCTCTGGGGGTCTCTGAGGATGGTTTGGTGAGTTCCTCCTCTCCCGTTGCAGAGGAGCAGCGCTCACTGCTTGTGTTTCCCTGCAGCGTCCGCCAGCGGCTCCATGGGGAACAGCGCGATCCCGGAGAAGGAGCGGCAGAACATCGCCGAGAGGCTGCTGCGGGTGATGTGCACTGACCTGGGGGTGCTGAGCGTGGTGAGCGGCAAGGAGTTCATCAAGCTGGCACAGACCCTGGTGGACAGTGGGGCTCGCTATGGTGCCTTCTCTGTCACCGAGATCCTGGGCAATTTCAACACCCTGGCTCTGAAGCATTTGCCTCGGATGTACAACCAGGTGAAGGTGAAGGTCACCTGCGCCCTGGGCAGCAACGCCTGCCTGGGCATCGGGGTCACCTGCCACTCGCAGAGCGTCGGCCCCGACTCCTGCTACATCCTGACCGCTTACCAGGTGGAGGGCAACCACATCAAGAGTTACGTCCTGGGAATTAAGGGTGTAGACATTCGAGACAATGGTGATTTTATCCACCACTGGGTGCAGAATGTGCTGTCGGAGTTTGTCATGTCGGAGATCAGGACGGTGTATGTCACGGACTGCAAAGTCAACTCCTCGGCGTTCTCCAAGGCGGGCATGTGCCTGCGCTGCTCGGCCTGTGCCTTGAACTCGGTGGTGCAGAGCGTGCTCAACAAGAGAACGCTGCAGGCTCGCAATATGCACGAGGTGATCGAGCTCCTGAATGTCTGCGAAGATCTGGCGGGGTCCACGGGCCTCTCGAAGGAGACCTTTGGCTCCCTGGAAGAGACCTCCCCCCCGCCCTGCTGGAACTCGGTCACCGACTCCCTCCTGCTCGTCCACGAGCGCTACGAGCAGATCTGCGAGTTCTACAGCAGGGCCAAGAAGATGAACCTCATCCAAAACCTGAACAAGCACCTGCTCAGCAACCTGGCAGCCATCCTGGCTCCGGTGAAACAGGCCGTGATCGAGCTGAGCAACGAGAGCCGGCCCACCCTGCAGCTGGTCCTGCCCACCTACGTCAAACTGGAGAAACTGTTCACTTCCAAAGCTAACGATGCTGGCGTGGTCAGCAAACTCTGTCACCTCTTCTTGGAGGCGCTGAAGGAGAACTTCAAAGTTCACTCGGCACACAAGGTAGCCATGATCTTAGACCCTCAGCAGAAGCTGCGGCCCGTCCCGCCGTACCAGCACGAGGAGATCATTGGCAAGGTCTGTGAGTTGATCAACGAGGTGAAAGAGTCCTGGGCAGAAGAAACAGAGTTTGAACCTTCAACCAAGAAGCCTCGTGCAGCAGGGGAAACCACAGCAGCTCAGGAAGAAGATTGGTTTGGGAAAAATGAAGTCTATGATTATTTGCAAGAACCTCTCTTCCAGGCCACCCCTGACCTGTTTCAGTACTGGTCGTGTGTTACCCAAAAGCATACAAAACTAGCCAAGCTGGCCTTTTGGCTCTTAGCAGTGCCTGCTGTGGGTGCCAGGAGCGAATGTGTAAATATGTGTGAGCAGGCTCTCTTGATCAAAAGGAGACGGCTACTCAGTCCAGAAGACATGAACAAACTCATGTTTTTGAAGTCCAACATGCTTTAAGACTGTCTGTTAATTAAAACAAAACTTTAAAACACTGTTCCAAACAAAGAAAAAAGAATTTTAAGTTCTAAACACTGTGGACCTCATTATGAATGCCCCTGGAAACCAAGTGCTTTTTTATATATATATAAAAATATAAATATATATAAAATTAAGTTTGAAAGGAAAGCTGAGCACGGGAGAGAGACAGCCCTCTGCCAGGAACGTGCTCCTTTCCATAGATAGTGTGTGGACTTGACAGACTTTCTAATGTTTTCAAGTGGGCAGACGAATGGGAGGCTGATGTTCTAAAGTCTTCAGGCAGCTGAGATCTAAAGTGACTTGAAGTTTCTTTTGTTTCTCCTCCACCCCACCTTTCCTCTTGTCCCCTGGGCCATCTTGCCATGGATAATCAGACTCCATTGAACAGACCAGTTCTGCACTGGACTTTGCTCCTTTGAATAACTGTACACCTTGAGGGCACTTGGCTGAGGCCTTCCTGGCACCTGGTGCACCTGTCAGGGCAGCTGTGTTCTGCCAACACTGGGACCTTCAGAAATCAGGGAAGGGAGACTTGAAGGTTTTTGGGTTTTAATTTTATTTTTATCCTTTCCATATTCATTTTTTTTCCAAAAACACAAAAGTTACTCTTCTGTCTCCACTCCCAGTTTTAACTTGGTAGCCAGGGATTATAAGTTTGATTTCGAACTAAGAGAAATGGTTCATGGCAGAAAATGTCTGCGGTTGTTAAGTTTCTTGGCTTTATTTTTCTACAGCAGAACTTCTTTTCTGAGCTCCCGGTGTTAATTAGCTTTTCTGTGCATTTTGTGCATCAGGCATTCTCAGACTTGTTCTAGAGTAGCCCATTTGCAATTAAATAGTATCCTTATGGGAACCACAGCAGTTGTTCATACAGAAAAGCCTAAAAACCAGGAAAAGTAAGTCTTGACAGCTGTGGGCCACCAATGAGCTTGTCAGGTCTGCCAGAGAACCCTTGTACCTGAACTTTTTTGTTTAAAAGTGTCTCAGTTCCACAGAAACCAACCTTCCCAAGGCCAAGGACAAACCAAGGTGTATGATTTTTCAGGGGAACAAAGCTCATCAGTTTTGTCAAATTGGGGTTTGAAGGAAGCTTAGAGAAGTGCATGGGCTCAAAGATCCTTCTGAATGTAAGTGCTCCTGACTGAGTGCAAAGAATATCTTCCCATTTTTATTTGGAATGGTTTCCTCTAGTGGCACGAATGTCTTTTTGATACCTACAGTGCATTACACTACTTGTTCTGTTGCTGACTCGTTCTGGCTGGGAAGGCCACAGGCCCTGAAACATTCCCACGTCCTTGCTCACCCCAAATGCAATTGGAGATGATCAGAACCCAGAGCCATCTCGGTCACTCTGCTGTCCCCCAGGGCCAGTGCTCTGTGGTGTTTCCTGCCCACAGGCACAGCTCCTGCATCTCTGTCAGGTTTGGTGCCTCTTGGACAATTCCCAGCCTCTCGTGCCAAACTGTTTGTTTTTCACCACTGGGACTGAGATCCCAGAGGAAAATGGAAGCCAGTCGTGATTTTTTCAGTAGTGTCTCTTGCTTCCAGGAGCTGCAGTCCCAGTGGCACAGGAGGGTCAGGAGGAGGGACTGGCTCAGCTGGAGCCCCTCAGCAGCATGAGGTGTTTGCTGGTGGCTGACAATGCAGGAGGAAGACTGGGGGGCCCTCTTTGACGTGCTGCTGTTGACCAGAAGCTAAACCAAGATCCCACCTGCCCATCTCTGGCTGTAAGAGAAGTTGCACGTTCCAAGACATGAGAAATAGCAAACCAAATCTCTCAGGCTTTGTGTGCAGATGCCTTGAACCTCTCAGGCACTGACACCTGCACTGGCATGGGACTCAGGGGCACAGTTTGGGTGCTGGAACCTTCCCCAGCCCAGGCTCACTGAGGATAGCTCTTGGCACCCAGCTGTCTTCCACTGGCTTGAGTCTGGGTTGACCTCTTGGCACTGTTACTGGCATCAGGGCAAAACCAGGTGTCTCCTAAATGTTAAGTCTTGCCTATGGACATCACACAGCCTGCCACCCCACTGCGAGCTGCACCTGAAGAGGACCTACCAAGGCAAAGACACTTGGGCATCTGTTTTCCCTGGCAGTGGCTGATGGAGGTGTTGATTATAGGGCCACCTGTTCTTCTTGCTGGTTTTCTTTTTTCCTTTACAACTCCTGCCTGCCCAGCCACCAGCTGGGCCCGTGGTAACACAGCTCTCTGCACTTGCATGGCAGGAGAAGCCTGTTTGAGACAAAAATGAAGTGTCAAACAGAAACCCTGAGTGAGATTTGTGCCAGTGACAGTGAGTTGTGTGAGCTGCTGGGCCCACAGGTACCCAACAGCAAGAAAACTTGGCTAGAGGATGATTCCAAAGCTTTGGAGGCACAAAGTGTGTACCACACAGCTCAGCTGATGGCACAAGGACCAGGATTTGTAGTTATTTCTCCTTTTTGTGTGGTTCATCAGAGACCATGAGAGCTCCCAGGTTCTTTGATGCTCAGGGGAATGTGCAAAGTCCTTGCATTCCTTTGGAAAGGCAGTTCCAACCCCCAGCACTCCTTTGTAAGGGGCAGATGGATGACTTCAGTGGGATTTGCCAGCTGGGGCTCCTTGTGCTGCCTGTCTGTGAGGCCTTGAGGGTGGGAAGCAGGCAAGGCAGAGTTAACACAGGTGTGAAGCCCTGGCATTGAGAACTGGGTAAATGGCTGTGTCCAGCACATGGAGCAGGACTGTGGCTGCACAGCCACCCTGACCTCCCAGCCCGTCTCTCCTTTTCCTCCTCACACTGTGGTTTTGGCACCAGGTCTGGAGTTTTTGCTGTGCTGACCAAAGAGAGGGATGGACTGGCCCTCTCCCCCATCCCAATAACTGTGCCCTCCAAGGCTGTAGTTGCACTAATGATGGATGTTAAGCAAACATGCCTGATGTCGGGTAGATGCGATTCTCCCAAAGACTAAAAATCTCAACTTAGCTGAAAAAGCAAGATAAAACCTAAGGCCTGAATTGGGGCAATCTCCTCCAGAACTCAGACTAAGAAGCTGCAGCTTTTCATGACTCCTAAGCATGACTCTTAACTGGGTGTTCAGCTCAGAGGAGCTGTTCATGCTCTGCTTGCTCCCAGGCTCCCTTCTGTCTGGTACTAGACTTAATTAGAAGCAGGGAAATGCATCTGTAGCACAGGTGTTCACCCTAAATGCCAACTTTGGCTCCTTTTCCTCCTTCCATCTTCAAGGCTTGGATTTGCATTCTAGGGAGCAAAAATACTTTACCAAAGTCTGAGTTCTGGCAGCTCTTCTTCACCAGGTTAGTCCAACACAAACTGCTCTGTCCCTGCTCTGGGATGCCTCGGGGTGTGGAGCAGCATGTGCTACAGGGAGCACTTCCCATCCCGGGGTGGCAGGCTGCACAGGGGAGACTGAATTTGGCCAGAGCTGTCATGAGGTTCTGCCCCCTTTGAGCTGGGAGAAGTCCCCAGAATTGGGATCATCCTCTGTTAGGTCATGTTGGGAATTTGCCTTCTGCTTCTTGGTTTCCTTTACTCACACCTGAGGAACGTGTTGGGATACGGAAATGGAGGGTGTGTCCTCCAGGCAGTCACTTGTTCCTGCTGCTGACTCTGGGCCTGACCTTGCAGACTTCTCTTTCTGACTTCCCAGTTGGCTTTGGGAGGGTTCTGATCTTCAGGCTGGGAGACAGGCACCAGCAGATGAACTGTCAGAGTGAAGGACCTTCAGGTCCTGTCTGAAGATCCTTGTTACTAGAAAACAGAGTGGGATACAGAGGCAGAGCTCTTCAGGAGGTTTTTTCTGTGTGGCTGCAGCAACCAGAGAGCCAGGGAGAACATGGAGCCCAGATTTGTCTCCTGGTCTGTGCCCTCCCCATGTCTCCAGGAGCAGGCAGTAGCTGTGGTCTGACCTGCAGGATAGGCTTGGTGTCTCGCACCCAGCTCAGGTTCAGGTGGAGGTGAATTTTCCTTTCTGTCCAATCTCTCTGTGCTGAGGGTGTATTTGAAGTAGTGAATCTGGAAAACTTCCTGTGAAAACCAACAGTGGGGCTCAGGTTTTGTCTAATTCAGTTGTTCGTTCATTGCTGTTTAAACCAGTTTAACCTTGAACTAAACTGGTTTAAGCATCCACACAAACCACCTGCACTGGTTTATCTGCGCTTGCTGGGCAGAGAACACGTCCAGCAGCAGCTCAGGGAGTCATGACCTTTCTGTGAATTTTGCAAATGAATTTACAGCAGATGCTCTCAAAGCTTGGGAATGACTGAAAATAGCAGGGAGACACTTCTGGAAATGGCTTGAGCTCTAGAGATGAGCTCAGCTGGTGCTAATAATGCCAAGGTCACAGGTTTGATCCCCATACAGACCATTCACTTAAGAGTTTGGCTCGATGGTTCCGTGACACTAAATGATGGTATTGGAGGTCATTGTTCAGTGAGATGGCTCAGGGGGTGGGATGGTTTTTCTCCAGGTGTCTGCAGTAACCCAGATTAGCATGGGAAGGAATTACCACAACTGTTTGTGTTGGTGGCTGAGTCTGCTCAGCTTCACCCAGTGTGAGGGGCCAGTTCCACTCTGGACCCTGCAGCAGCCCATGGTGGACACAGGAGCAGGGACTGAGACATCCTTCTGCTCTAGGAGCACCAAGTTACTGATGAATCAAACAACACTAAAAGAGCAGGGCTGGGAGTGCTGCTCTGTGCCAAGGAAAGGCTTGGATCTCTTATGGCACCTCTCTGGCTGAGGGAGAGGCGAGGAGCTCCTGGGAGCATTCCCACAGGACGGGACTAGTTGTGCCCTATGGAGTAGTTAGGAATAAAGGGATAAAAATAAAAAGACACTAAAGGCAGACTCTGGGAAACCTCTTCAGGGAGGAGGAATCTGTTCACCTGGAAGGAGTTTCCTGGGGGAATGCTTTTTGAGCTTTGCCATTGAAGGCAAGGCTGCACAGCTCCTGGAATTCACTCTGTGGGGCACGAGGCTGCTCTGGACCTTGCTGAGAGAAAAGGGACTGGATGTAGGGGTGGGAAAAGCCAGTCCTGCCCAGAAGACCCAGGAGGGTTCACAGAGCATCTTCCTCCCCATCCTCCCACTCCTCAGTGGCACCAAACCCTTCCCAGCACTCCAATGTATCCATCAACCAGGTTCCAACTGCTGAGGTGGAGAATCGGGCTGGGGGACAGTGTTCAATGTTTTGCTGCTTCTGCTGTGCATTTTCTGTGCTACACCATGGTCTTGAATCCGTGGGATCCACTGGGAACGCCCAGAGCCCTCGGCAGAGCCCCAGTGTCCCATATCAGGTATCTCTGAAGCTGTCACTGTAGCAATAAGATCTCCCTGTTGCCGGTGCGTGGGACCTGTCCCCGTGCCACAGGTCACCATCTTCCTGGGGCTTCTGGAAGTGTCACTGAGCAAACAGTAAAGCCCAGCCCAGCTGTGCTGGAACAGCCCTCAGGCCTGGGGGAGAGCCTGCCTACGCTAGGCCAGAAATGGTGAACCAATGACAGTGGGTTGCCCTGAAGTTTAATTTTATCTACTGAATGTTTGTGTGATTTCTGTTTCATTTCGGTTCTGGTTTGGCTGATTGGTTGTGTTTCTACTCCTGCTGTTACAGAGTCCTTTGTTTATAACTTGAGGGAAGAGTTCTGCTCACACAGACAGTGGTGTATCCATAGACCCTTGGGGTTTCCTCATCCGTAGGCAGCTGAGTTGGAACTTTTTAGAGTATCTTCTGAAAAGAGGCTCTAAATGTCTCATTGGTGCACAACATCAGCCAGTGACTGGCAGGATTAGGCTGGCAGGATTTTCTCCTTCTGTCACTGTGGCATCACTGACAGCGGGACCCGGGTGAGCAGCACAGCCTTAACGATGGGTGCATTTTAGGGTGGAGTTGATGAGCACAGGCACGTCCAACCCTTGCTTTTTACAACCAAAGTTCCTTAAAAAGACACTTCCAGCCTCATCAGCCTTGAATCCTTGTTCCCATCTCTTGGGGGTTCTGGTGGTGGTCTCTGCAGTGTCTGTGCATAGGGTGGGATTTTTTTTTCTCCAGTGGGCTGGGGGTTGGAGGAGGGAATATTTTCCCCTTGCTGTCTTTGGAGAAGGACCTTTCCACTCAAGGAAGGAGGCATGTATTCTGGAAGGAGCAACAGTCTGTTTTCCATGGTCCCTTGAAACTTAGGGGGCCTTTAGTATTATTTTCTTTAATTCTTTAAAAGGAAAACTGGTAGTGGATGAGCTGAACCCTTGGTGGCAGGTGACAGGTCCAGGAGGAGCACACACCACCCAGGCCGTGAGGATTGTGGTCCACGCCGTAGCCAGACAGTGTCATGGTGACAACCCCAGCCGTGGGAGATCCCTGTTTGCAGCCAGGCTGGAAGGAGAAGCTGTTCCTCGCCCGTACGTCCGTTTTCCCAAACCTCCTCCGGGGGGGCCGAATTCTTGTGGTTTCATCAAGCAAAGATTCACTTCTCCTGTCCCTCCTGCCCTCCCTCCCTCAGTAACTCGTGTGCATTTCCCTCCTTTCTGTAGATGCAGATGTTCTAGGCAATACCACAGACGCGCCCGCGGCCCCGCCCGCAAGCGCACTCATGTCATCTTAAAAAATACAAAAAAAAATATACAAAAAATATACAAAAAATATCTTTTTTAGGCCAGAGTTTTCTACAGGTATTAATGAATATTTTTCTTAATCCTTATAAGTTTTATGTGTTTAATATTTCTTAATACCGGTAGCATTAATTTATACTTTTGTAGCAACACAATATTTTTATAAACCGCCACCGCTGGCTTTGTCTTCATAACGGGAAACGTGCGGGCAGCTGGCCCCGCGCTGTACCATGTACTGTATTTAAAAGGTTATCTAATGTCACACTTGCTGTGTTAATAAACAAAACAAAACCTGTTTGAAGTCTCATGTATTGTTGGTGTGGATCAAATGACTCACTAGAGAGCAATATTGCACGGGGTTGAGTTGCTGATTTTCATTGTGATATGCGAACGCTTGAGGCCAACTCAAGCTCTGAGGTTGTTTTTTTTTTTTTCCTTTTAGGATTTTGTTTTGGTTTTGGTTTGTTTTTTTGTTTGTTTTTGGTTTTTTTTACAGCTAAATGAATTCAGTGCTGTTTGAAACTTAGACTGACGTCAAATGAAAAGGATTATTATAGAAAAAAAAAATCAAGGTGTTTAAATGTTGCTGTTTTTACAAGTCTGTTGCTGTCTGAATGGAAATATTCCGTGAGAGAGGAGGAATAGTTCCACTTAGCTTCCAAAGGGGCCGAGCGCTCCAGGCCAGAGCTCGGTTATTTGGAAATACCTTAGAGACATGTTTCTGCAACATTCTTTTCAGAGTTGATGCCAAGGCAGAAGACAAACTGTAACTGTAAGAAAGCATCCGTTGCTTGAGGATTTTCATGTCAGTGTTGTATTTATGGTTTTACAATAAAACAACCTTTAGGAAAAACAAAAGTGTTTGGGCTTTTCTATTTTTCAAGCACGTGATTGGGACATTCCCCAGGGCTGATGTCCTGCTGTGAGCAGGGAGAACATGGAAGTGACCTGGATCCCAGCGGTGGTCTCTGGGGGATCTCACAGAATCGTGTAATGGTTTGGGTGGGAAGGGACTTGAAAGATCATTTCATTCCCCATCCTCCTACCATGGGCAGGGACACCTTCCACCAGCCCAGGTTGCTCCAAGCCCCATCCAACCTGGCCTTGGACACTTCCAGGGATGGGGCAGCCACAGCTTCTCTGGGCAACCTGTGCCAGGGCCTGCCCACCCTCACAGGGAACAATTTCTCCCCAACAACCCATCTAACCCTGCCCTGTGTCAGTGGGAAGCCAAATGAACTTGGCATCCAGAGAACTCCACACTGGGCACCACATGCCCGAGGCACCCAGCGCTCCCCAGAGCAGTGCCCGGAGCGTCCCTTCAGTCCCCACGAGCTGCTCCTCCCTCCCTGAGGAGAGCTGGGTTTGGAGCAGGAAGGGCCCTGAAACAGGAGGGCAGCTGGGGGTGGTTTGGGGGCTGCAGTGGGTGTTGGTGTTCACACCCCCCGGCAGGGTCAGCTGGATTTCCTCTGCTGAAGCTGCTCCAGCTGCTGCTGGGCAGCCTGGGCTCACAGGGCCAGAGGTTTTCACCTGTATCAGCAGATCACCTCAGGGCTTGATTTCACTCCAGGGGAGCAGTGGCTGGGCACTGGCTGGGCAGAGCAGCCTCCCTCCTCCCCAGGACAAGGCCCTTGGCAGCTGTTTGTTTGTAGTGGGAGCCAAAATGGGCACAGAAATCTGGGCTCAGGCCGTGACAGGCTTGACCTGCACCAGGATGTCCCAAGGGGTCCCAGAGATGTGCTGATGAGTTGGACACTGCTGGTTCTGTGTGCAGGGACTCACTGATGCTCTCTGGAGCTCCAGGACCCCCCTCCAAACAAAGCAGAGACCACCAGGAATTGTCCCGAGTGGAACAAGTTCATAGGCCGGGATTCAAAGGAGGCAGCCAGGCCTTAACACTGGAAAATCCTTTGTCCATCACCCTTCCTGTGTCCTTTCCTTTGACCTGTTTTGATGTTCTCTTGTTCTCTGGAGTTTTTTAACCTTGCACCCACCACCTTGCAAAAAACAAGAAAAAAAAAAAAACAACACAAACAAAACAAAACAACTTTGCCACAGAATTGGGAAATTTGGAGTGAATTTCTTGGTTGGGAAAAAACAAAACCCAAAGACATGGAGTGACGATGGCTCTGGCCATTGGACAAACTCTTGGCTATTGGTCAAGTGTGAAGATAAGCCAAAATAATAAATACAACTATCAGTTTATAATGTTAGAATGGCTGTGGCTTTGCAGCAGGTTTACAAAGGGATTTTAGCAAACAGTCAGAAGAGGCGCCCTCAGGTCCTGCCAGACAGAGGTTGGGATTTGTTTGAAAATCTACATATGTGAAGTGGATAATGTAAAGCCAGGATGCCCAGCAGAATGGAGGATGGTGCTCCTTGGCATACCAGTGGCTCCTGGCACTCAATTATCCTTTTTGCTAGAGCCCTTTAAAAGGATAAAAACAATTGCTAATGGGACTGTAAGAGGCTTAAGCTAATCCTGCCGTGTTTCCCAATTCTCTGCTTTCTGCCCTAACAGGACACAACTGCTTTAGCTTTAGCAATAAAGGAACTGGTAGCTCCGAATTCAGGCTCTGCTGGAGGTATCCCCCAGTTTCCTTTCATCTCAGAGGGACTGATGGATCTAACAAAGCTGGCTGAACTCACCCACTCCAATCTGAGCCTCAGCAATTTCCCTGCCTTGGAGTTTTGTTCATCCCGAGATCCCGTGTGTGGGAACAGAGAGAGGAGCAGGGAACAACAGCCCAGGTGTGGCAAGAGCTCTGTACCAGTGTGTGTTTGTGGCTGGGGTGGGGGGGAGTGCCCCTGGGCCCCCATAGGTTTAGGTGAACCTCATGACCCACAGCATGTCATGTAACACCTCAGTTCTTTTAATTTGCTCTTGGTGCTTCTCCATCACCCATCACTGCAGGGCAGCTGCTCCCTAAGGAATGGGGTGCTGGGACCTGAGGGGGGTCTCACTGCCCTGAGTGGGATGGGCAGGGCAGGCCCAGAGGTCGTGGGGTCAGATCATGGCACAGGCTCGTGGCAATGGGGCAGGTCTGAGGTCCAGCTGGGAAGTCAATCTGCAGCTCAGGGCCAGGATCTGGAGAGGGTGTCCAGGGTCTGACACAGCCCAGCAATGGCTGGGCAGCCCTGTGGGGGTGGGACAGGGTGGAGGTCCAGCTGGGAAGTCGGGCTGTGGTCAGAGCCCAGGTCAGCCAGGGGTGCAGCACCGCTCAGGGCAGGGCTGAAATGGCTCCTGGGCCGAGGGCAGGGAGTGGAGGAAGCACCCCAGGTGAGGCTGGTCAGGTCCCTGAGAGGCTCAGGCTGTTGAACTGGACAAATTCTCCTTCTCCAAGATCCTGCTCTCTTTTGAAATTCCTTACTGGAGATTCCCTGTGGCTCCTGAAGCAGGAGAGCACGGGCCAGCTGCAGGACCCCTTCTCCTGGCAAGAGCACCCCCAAAACGGTGGAGAACAACAAACTGTGAACATGAGATCAGTTTTAAAAGACATTTAATAGCAAAGTATTGGAAGTGCAATGGGCTGATGTGGTTGGTGGTGGCGCAGCTGGCACAGGGTACCCAGGGTGCTCCCAGGGTGGGCAGGGGGCTCTGCATGGACAGGGGCCTGCCCTGGCAGGGTCCTGCTCCCAGTCCTGCTCTGGAATAGTGCAGAATTCACAAGACACAGGGAGGTGCACAGCATATGGGAATGGGAGCCACCAGCCTGGGAAAGCTCCTGGATTTGGGCATTTGCTCCTGCTGTCCCTTGGCACAGAGGAACTGCCCAGGGCAGCTCTGCCCGGAGGGATTACAGGCTTCCCCAGGGAAAGCAGCCAGGCAGAATTTAGCCCTTTAATACAGCACAGGAGGATCTAGGGCAGCTCTTATGAGGTTTGCAGCCCATGTGAGAGCTGGAGCCTGTCCCAGCCAAGGGGATGCTGCAGAAGCATCAGCAGGACTGGCTGGGAAAGGCCACTGGGCAATCAAAGGCCACATGGAAACAGAACTGTTCAAAATGATTGCAGCAGTGAGAGACAAGGACACTTCAAGGGCAGCTCTGCCAATCTGAGGAGACTGGGAGAGACTTCACCAGGGTTTGCAGCTTCCTCACCAGGGGCAGAGAAGGGGCAGCTCCAGCCTCTACTCTGTGTGAGCAGGGACAGCACCCAGGGAATGGCTGGAGCTGTGTCAGGGCAGGCTCAGGTTGGATCTCAGGGAAAGGTTCTTCCCCCAGAGGGTGGTTGGCACTGAACAGGCTCCCCAGGGCAGTGGGCACAGCCCCAAGGCTGCCAGAGCTCCAGGAGGGTTTGGACAACGCTCTGAGGGACAGGCTGGGATTGTTGGGGTGTCTGTACAGGGTTGGGAGCTGAACTGGATGGTCCTGTGGGTCACTTCCAGCTCAGGATTTCTGTGATTCCATGATTCTAACCTGAAGTTCACCCTCAGCTCACACTGCAGGACAGCCTTGGAGCTTTGGTGCCCTGGACACAGAAGGATCACCAGGGCTCAGGCTCTGCTCCCTGTGGCATTGCCTGTATTTATTACACTGGTGGTGCCAGCTCAGCTCCTCTGCCACCAGCCAGGGTGGGCAGGACCCACCTGAGAGCCTCAGGCAGCTCCTGCAGTGATGGGGCAGGAGGGTCCTCACCAGTCCAGGCCCTCCTCCCGAGCCGGGGGCCTCGCGCTTCCCTGGCTGTAGAACTGGGAGAACCAGCGCCGGTGCCTCTGGATCCCGGAGTCCTCCCGGACCAGGAGCGGCTTGGACAGGTACTGCTTGTTGTTCCAGATGGTCACATCCCGCTCAAACTGGGGGCAGGAGGAGGGTGTCACTCGGGTGGGGAAGCTGAACCAGCAGGTCTGTGTGACACTGATTCACTGTAATTTTCCCCCCCCTCCCAGCTGGCCCCTGTGGGACTGCCCCTGTCATCAGGAGCACAGAACACCACTGCTCTGCCTGCAGCCAGCACAGCTTAGCCCAGAAAAGAAGCTTCCAAAAAAAGAAGCCACTTCCAGCTCAGACTGCCCCTGTCATGGGGGTTGTGTGGGCAGGAGCTGCTCCACCCAAGAGTTTTGGGTCACTGGGTAGCTCCAGCCAGCCAGGGCTTTATAAATAAAGCATCCACATCTTACACTCTGCTCAGGCACACGTGGAGTAAGACTGGGGAGTTTTCCTTTGGGAAGAAGGTGCTGCAGAAATGAGTGTTGCTCATTCACCTTAGTAAGATGCAAAATGTTAAGGCAGCATTTATAGAATATGAGGCAGCACAACTAAGTTTGACTTGGGGTGGGTTTTTGGCATCTGAACATCATCTGGAGCTGGAGAGATGAAACCTCTCTCCAACAGAGGTGACCTTCAAGGCCATGCTTGACCTGAATTTGGCAATAGTCTTGTCTCAGCTGGGATATTGAACTGGAGGCCTCCAGAGTTCAACACTTCCGTGAATCCCTGTGGTAAAAGCCTGGAAAACCTCTTTCAAGAGTAGCAGGAGTTGCCAAATCTCATGATAATTTAAAAACAGGAGGATTTCTTGGCACATTTCTTACCAAAGGTAATAGGATGATGTTAAAGCATCCGCCTGGGAGGCTGGAAAACCTGGATGGGCTGATTAGTTCCCTCAAAGACTTCCTGCAGCTAAAGAGAGGTTACCTAATCCTTGTGTCCCAGTTTCCCACCCACAGGAGAGGGATGACACCTCTCTGCCACCCTCAGCAGGTGATCCACTGCAGGGACCCCCTTTATTCAACCTCCAGTTTGATTTTTTTGGGACACTCAGAGGGAAAGATCACACCAGGCACCACAAACATCTTCCCCACGAGTGCTTTGCTCCCACAGGATATCTGAGCCCATGTGGGCAACTGCTCTTCCTTCTCCCCCCTCCCAGGCACGAAGCTGCAGGGAACCAAATCCCTTTGGCTGCTCTTCTGCAGGGGCCTCACCTGGACACACTCTGCCCTCAGGATGAACTTGGGCACTATGGCTGGTATGTTCTTCTGGTAGTAGATTTTGTGACTGACGCTCTGCAGGAGAGGCTCCAGGGGAGTCACCGTCTGCAGGATGACGCCACGGCCCAGGAACGCGTGTTCAAAGGTCAGGTAAACCAGCCCTGGCCCCACCTGCAGAGCGACAGAACATCCTCAGGGAACAACCCCCAGTGGTCCAGCCCTCTGGTCCAGCAACTTCCACACCTTGAGACCTGCTGGAGATGCCTCCTGGGCTGGGATCATTACTCTTTTCATCAAGCCCACAGAGTCGTGGGCCACGAGTCACAACTTTGCCAGTCGTTGTCGTCTCCAGGCAGGGTTAGATTGGATAGATTAGATATTGGGAAGAAATCTTCCCATGAGGGTGGGGAGGCCCTTACACAGGTTGCCCAGAGAAGCTGTGGCTGCCCCATCCCTGGAAGTGTCCCAGACCAGGTTGGACGGGGCTTGGAGCAACCTGGGCTAGTGGAAGGTGTCCCTGCCCATGGCAAGGGTTGGAACTGGATGATTTTTAAGGTCCCTTCCCACCCAAACCAGTCTGTGACTCTATGATTTATTCTGCATTTCTAATGTGGGAATAGGTCAAATTCCTTCAAAAATGTATTAGACTAAAGTTAGAAATTTTTTATCAGGCAAAATTTGCATTTCATTTAAAAAAATCCAGAAAGAAAAATAAAAGTAAGATGATCTATTTCCAATTGATTCGTAACATTATTTCTATTTTCCAATAATCCTTTGTCAGTCTGTGTCAGCTGTTTTGTTGTCTCAGGGCTGATCTCGGGCTACAGACACATTGTTCCTGATTGTTTGCCTTTCCCACTTCTGCACTGTAACTAGCTGTGACCATGTGGAGTGAAGGTCCCTCAGGACTGTCACCAATGTCTGCTCAGGTGATGTTTTTAGTTGTTTTGTGACACAGTAATCCTTAGGAACCCTCCCTCTTCTCTGGGGCTGCCCCAGTGCCAGTGGGTGCTCTTTGGCCCACGTGTCAGATGCACTGGGTGGGGAAGGTGACCCTGAGCTGAGCTCAGCTGGTCACAGCAGGGTGCTGACCACAATGGGGTCACAGGTCCCTTCACAGGCCATTCAGTCGGACTCGATGATCCTTGTGGGTCCCTTCCAAGCCAGAATGTTCTGTGGCTCTGGGACACAGAGCAGGGCAGGCAGGGCTCTCAGCCAAGCCCTTCAGCTTGAGATGCTGGTGGTCCCCAGGACATACCTGCCTGGCTGAGACTGTCAGATCCATGAGGCAGAGGCGCTTCCCGAAGATGGTGGCGGAGTGTTGGAGCAGCAGGCGGGAGCAGTGCTCGCTGGGCTCGGGCTCGGGCTGCCACTCTGCCTGGAGAGGGGACAGGATGGCTCAGACTGATGGTGGGGGGCACAGACTGGGAGGGGCAACATGAGATGGGGACAAGAGGACCATCTGGAGATGGTTCTCAGGTGAGGGAGTGCAGCTAAAACCCTCAGAGACACCGAGCAGGAGGCACAGCCGAGGGGGTGAGGTGGGACAGATGCTTTGAGGCAGGAAGGGAACCTGGTTTGGAAGACTCTGACCTGATGGCTAAGAGGGGAGCTGGGGTCTTACCTTCCAGGTGTGCTTCATGAAGTCCCACAGCCTGGACCTCGTGTACCTCAGGTCAGACCCTGCCAGGATGGCTGGGCCGTGCAGAAAAGCCAAGTGAGCCGCGTCGGCCGCGTTCTCGGGGATCTCCTGATGTCAGGGAACAATTTGCTGTTGGCAAGAGCTGACTCGGGTGGGAGCTGCCTGCACCTCCAGCAGCTTTGCAACAGCCCCAGGGTGGCCCTGGTACAGCCCTGAGTCCCCAGCTGAGCAGGGCAGAGCGGGGCAGAGCAGGGCAGAGCAAGGCAGAGCAGGGCAGAGGTGCTCACAGGGCTTGAGGCAGCAACAGGCACCAGGGGCCTCAGCACAGACTGACCTGGGGCCAGCTCTTAACAAGCATCAGGGAATAATTTAAACAGGAAGTTCAGAAAATTCAGGGTTCATTTTAAGCTCACAGAACTCTATGTGTGCTCACTTGTGTAGATGCACAAGCTGGGACTCCAAATAAGTCCTGCCTTTGGCCCTGTGATAACTGTAAGGAATAAAACATTTTTGCCTAGTTTTCACATCCTTTTACACCTTTAAACCCCACCAGCCTGCCCAAATATATCACTTTTTGAGATATTTTAGCTGCTTTAGAACTCAAATACACCAACTTCCCACCAGCTCTGCAAGCAGCACAGACTGGCCCCAGCACAGACCTGTGTGCAGTGGTTTGCACTGGAAAAGACATAAAATAAATATTACTATCCCCTCAATCACAAAAATTCTCCCAGCTTCTCTGCACACTCCCAGAGCTGCATCTCCTGTGCTCTTGCATCTTCTTAATGCCTCCCAGTAACTCTCAGTTCCTTCCTATCCCCTCTCCTCCCTTGGGATGCAGCCAGCAGGCAGGTTCTGCCTTTGGATTTGGTGTGCTCTAGATTAAGGGTCGTTTTTGTCCCTGATTTTTACAACTACAGGTGTTCTGCTCAGCAGCAAGCAGAGAAAAATCTCCCCAGGACCTCCAGACATCACCCAGTTCCAAAACTGCTGCTGCCTCCCATCTCTCTCCAGGAGGAGCCCTGACCCATGGCTGCCCCTTCTCCCTCCCAGGTCCCTTCTGTCCAGCGCCACAAAATGGGGCCCCTTTCCCAGACTCATTTCCACAGAGAGGCAGCAGCCGTTTGTCCTCCATGGCCCATTTGTCAGCCCACGACGGTGATTATGAAGATTAACAGCAAAATAACTGCGCCTTTCCATTGGGGTGATCGATGGGCTGAGACGCCTCCTGACAGTAAGTGCCGCAGCTCTCGGAGGATCCTTTTTTTAAATTACACCAGTTGTAAGTCAAAGCAAATTAACAGATTCTTTTTAAGCACCCAGAACAGCTGTTCTCCACCCGAGGAGCTCATGCTCCATGTTTGGGGAGCATATGCCGTGTTCTGGGTGAGTGGCACGGAGGGTGTTTCTAGGTCAGAGCTCTGCCAGCAGCACTGATGGCACTGCCAAGGGCTGGTGAGCTGGGAGGAGCTGTCCCTGAATGGGTTAACTGGGAGGAGATGCCCCTGAACTGGGCTATAGGAGAGGACCCACGGGGGGGAGGGACCAGGCTCCCTACCTGGATGTGCGTGTCCACCAGGTGCTCCGTCTGCCCACGGAACACCCACTCTCCGGTGGTGATCTCTCGCTGCTCGGGCACTGCCCAGGTGGGATCGAGCCCTTGGCAGTGGTACCAGACCAGCAGCATCCCGTTCACCTCGCAGGACGGCCAGCCCCGCACCTTGGCGCGATCCGGCACTGCGGGGGCACAAAGGGAGCGGTTAAACCACAGCCCCAGGGCTGGCACCAGCCCTGACCCTTGTGCTGAGCCCCAGCGCAGACATCGGCTCTGTGGAGATGTTCATGCGGCACTTCTCCAGCTTGCACGGTGCTGAAGAAGAGCAGCAGCTACAAAGGTCACAGAAAAGAGTTCATTTTAATTGGTTTTATTTCAGTTTGGTGTTTTGTGTAAGTTTTTTAAAGGAACAACCTGGCTGGCTGATCTGCTACCTCTTTAACCTGGTTAAATAACTAAATGGGTGCTGCACGAATGTATCCTCCTCCAGTTTCAGTGAGCTAAAAGGAGATACTTCTAGTTTGGGCTGTGCAGAGAGAGTAAAAGCCATCACTGCCTCTCAAGTTCAAGGCATTCTCTGCTATAACCTTGCGGTATCATGTGTTGCTTTAAGAATAGATCACTTCAGTGAAATTAATTTTGGCATTTATAGTTCATTGTCAGAAAATGCAGCTTCTACTGGATTGGAAGGCTGTTGCCTTCATTACCTTTTTTGTCCTAATGTGGAAATGAGTACCAAGGAGAGCACAGAGTACTTCCTTCTTACTCAGCCTTGTACATGTGGGAGGTGAAATAATGCGAGAAATGAGGATTCTCTTTGAGTCAGTGAATATCAGAGGGGGCAGGAGGAGCCCATCACTGTGATTTCTGATTGATGAAACCTGATGCTTCGGGTGGGCTGCATCTCATTAAATTTCTAAGGGGGCTTCATCTGCCCCCACGCAGACATAGAATCACAGAATCATTCAGGTTGGAACAAACCTTGAATACCCCCAAGTCCAACCATTGCCCAGCGCTGCCAAGCCCAGCACTAACCTGTGTCCCCAAGTGCCACATCCACACATCTTTTAAATCCTTCCAGAATGGTGACTCCATCACTGTTCTGGGTAGCCTGCTCCAATGCCTGACCACCCTTTTAGGGAAGGAATTTGCACTAAGCAGATCTAAACCTCATCTGGCACAACTTGAGACCATTTGCTCTTGCCCTGTCCCTTGTTCCCTGGGAGCAGAGCTCGACCCTCACCTGGCTCCTCCCTCCTATCAGGGAGTTGGGAGTTGAGAAGGTCCCCCTGAGCCTCCTTTTTTCCAGGCTGAGCCCGCCCCCACACTCCCTCAGCCATTCCTTGTGCTCCAGACCCTTCCCCCTCTCCCTCCAGCCCCACACTGGGCTCTGGGGCTCTGTCTGGCTGTGGGTCCCTGAGAGCCCAGGGCTGGAGGAGCTGCCCATCTGAGCTCTCCAAAATCCTGCTCCAACAAGGTACCTGTGTGAGCACAGATGGCTTTTAAATCTGTTCAAATCACCCTGACCTATTTGGGCTGGAGGGGAGCAGGGCAGCTGGCTGCAGTTTCATTTTTTTAATACCTCCAAGTAACAGTGACTCAGAATTCAGCCATTTCAGATGAAATGACACATCTTGGCAAGTGTTTGCATATGTCGAGAATATTCTCCCTCGTTTTGTGGTGAAACACATCATTTCATTTGAATGCAGCTCCTGACTATGTATGGGGGAAAAAATACAGTATTAATCTTTTTTTTTCTGAAAATAACACACACAGAAAAGGAAATTGCTGTTTGGTGAGATGTGTGAATTGGCTCTCTTGCCCATATACATGGAATGTTTTTCTTTTACTTTGGGAGAAATAGTTTGTTTAGTAGAAAGAGTGACTTTTGCTGCCAATCAATGTTTCATTGCTACCCTAATCGATCCAAATCCAGTGAAGTTGAACTTCTCAGGACAATAACTAAGAAGCACAAGCCAAAGCAAAACTCAAGGTAAGTGAATTGGTGATTTAAATTCGTTAGTGGAGCCAGATCAAATAATTGCTCCATGTGAACTTTAAGACACTCTTCCTACACAGTCAACGCAATCCATCTCTACATGGTGGGTGTATGTGAAGAGCTTTCCTGAATCCCAACAGAAAGTTCCTTTCAAGCCTTAAAAGGAGAAAAAAATCCCATTGAGAAACTATTCTGTCACATTCATGGGACATGTTTCAGTACTGATGTGGCATAAGCTGTCACTGCAGAGCACAGAATCATTTCTGGAACCCAACAACTCCTCAGGGTCCATCCCTGAGGGACCCACTGGAAAGCTCAGAGTTAAAAATCTGCTTTTATACCCTGCCTGTGGAATGCAGGAGGTGTGGGACTGTCAGAGCCAAGAAGGGCACTATTTAACCAAGGTCCCAGTTACCACCTAACAGAGGGGAGGGCACTGGAACCCTGTGTTTCTGTTCCTGTGGAACACTGGGACACGGACAACCCAGAGGAAAACCAGGGTGCTGCAAGAAACAGGGGAGTGCATGGAGGGCGAATTATTATAAAGACGACTTTCCCCAAATGAAGTGGCTTTTAATGAGGACGTGTGGGGCACTACCCTTTCTGTGGCTGCTCTCCGTGGACCCGGGGGCACTTTCACCTTTTGCAGCATAGGGGATGTTGGTGCATTTCCCGTCCTCTCCTCGGAACTGCCAGCCGTGGAAGGGGCACTCGATGCAGCCGCCCCGGACCCGCCCGCCGGCAGCGAGGTTGGCCCCGAGGTGCGGGCAGTGGGCGTCCAGCACGTGGGCTTGGCCATCCTGGGCGCGAAACACGGCGAGATGCTCCCCTGCGGGAACAGGAGATGGTGGAGCTGTAAAAACAGCAGCACCAGGGGAGGGGGGTCGGGTAAAACACTCATTGCTCGGCCCCTTCGGAACGGGCGGCACCGGCCCGACTTCACCCGGTGTGCAAAGGAGGGAGAAATACCCCGCGAAATATTAATGCCCGAAGGCTTCTTTCCTTTCTGGTCGTGGCAGGACAGAAGCAGGGATGCTCTGGAGAAGTGATTTAACCACGAGATGGCACCAGGCAGCTGCCAGAGCCGGGCAGGGGCGGCTGCGCGGGCTGCGGGAGGGACAGCGGCAAGGGGGACAGCGGCAAGGGGGACAGCGGCAAGAGGGACAGCGGGCAGCAGTTCCCCGCCAGGCTGCGGGCAGGTATTCCCTGGCTGCAGAAAACGCCAGGCAGAACTGGGCTGGCAGCTGCTCAAGCTGATGTCCGGAGTGCGGTGGCCATGGACGCGCTGCCCCGGGTTTACAAGACATCCCAGAGCAGGGAGCCAGCTCGTCACACCCCGAGTGTCACCCTGAAGAGCTGCCCAATGTGCCAAAGAGCTGCTGTAGCACCGAATCACCCGTTCCGAAGGGCATCACCTTGCTCCAGGCAGGGGGAGAATAATTTCTCACGGTCATCTCTAAACCATTATGTTTTTGACCTTCAGCTCTGTTTTTTAAGCTGCTGAATCCTATTTTGGCCACAGGATAAAAGGTACCTTCACAAAAAATGTTTGAAGATTTAGGGTGCTTCCCCTGCTAAGGGAGAGAAACACAGAGAAGGGCAATTGCTGCATTTAGCAGGAACTCCTTCGCCCAGGAGGGGCAGAGCAGAGCCCGCAGGCTTCAACATCTCGGGAATCTCTGCTAACGGGAGTTGGAAGGAGGAGCCCTTTATCTCTTTGCTCTTGAACCCCGCGGGCCATCCACACTGTAGCTCAGCAGCAAATCCCTTCCTCGGGCAGGGACAGCCGGGTGCTGAGAGCCAGAGCACTGACACCTCCTCGGCAAAAGGGAGTTTTCTGGAAGGGAAGGGAAGCCCCCGGCTCTGGTCGGCTCCACACAGGGAGTGGAGAGTCAGTGCTGGTGTGGCTGGGACTGCACTGCCCCAGCACTCGGCCTTTTCCCCACTGTGGGCCTGATTCCTCCTGCTTCCCGGAGCAGTGAGAGGTTTGTCCCCCCACGGTCTGTCCCTGCTCGGTTCTGGGATTGCTCTCTTCCTGCACAGCCCCAGGGCAGCACCACGTTAGCTGAGCAAGGACCTGCTCAGGCAGGGACAGGCAGGGCTGTCTCTGGGCTGCAGCCATCAGACTGTTGATGGCTCTGCCTCACCCAGCTGTGCTCCAGCCACAGCCGGGTGGCTGCCACGGCGTTATCTAAACCACGGTACTCCCGAGGGACTGAACTGGAGCCAGATGCTTTCCTGGCCCAGCACAGACCTGCTAGTGCCCACATCCCTGGAAGCAGCACAGGGGAGAGGGGCTGTGCATTGGTGACCTGCCCTGAAAGCAAAGTGTCCCCTCGAGTCACCTCCTGGTTGGAAGGGGACACAGCCGGACTGGGAGCTCAGGAGACCTTGGGGGCTGTTCATACAGACGTGGCCACTGAGGGAAAGGCCAGGTCCTCTCTTCCATGCTGTGCTTCAGGTGATGCATATTTGTATTCAGAGTTCATCAGCTTGAGAACTCTGGTCGTTATAGCCACTTGAAGCTCAAAGAAGTCCAAGCTCAACTTTGGGAGCTGAGTGCAGTCTGTGTTTTCCCATGCAGCAACCCTGATGACAAGTGACACAGTGTGAGCTATCCCTCCCAAAACCACTTTCCTTGACTAAAGTTTTGTTATTTGTGCAAAGAAAAGGAAATTCTGGAAACCTTCCCAGCCTTCAAGCCTAGGAAGGATTATTTCTGATATCTGGCAGATATGAATACTTGTACCCCAGTGCCTGGAGATCCCTTCTTTCCCAGGACACTGGCTCTGTTGTCCCTGGAGTCTTTCTGGAAGGCTCTCACACATCTGCTGGCAGCAGGCACAGGGGAGTGGAGGCACCAGAAGTACATCTTCCCCTGCCCCAGGTAACAGGGATTCATTCTGAAGCAGCAATAACCCACCTCTCTACCTGACCTGAGGTTCAGGGCAAAAGAGGGAAGGCAGGGAAAGTGTTTCTGCCTCTTGCAGATGTTCAGGGCTCAGCAGGAGCAACAGCAGAGTGGAAATACAGAGGAACAGCTGGGCCAGACCCAAGTCCCACAGCCAGAGCACTTGGGACCCCTGGGTGTCCCAGCCATTTGCCCCCAGCAGCAGCTCTGCAGCCTGAGGCTTTTCCCAGCGAAGTTTTCAGATGGTTTTACTCCAAGGAGATCCCATCTCTAGAGCTTCCCTTCACACAGGCAGTTTGGAGGTCTCCTGCCTTGAAGACCTGAATCAGTGCCCATGGTCAGACCTTTGCTGGGCTGTCCCAGAACTCCCCAAGGACTTCTGAGTGTTGCTTTTGCCTCCAACCTTTGCACTCTGGAGCCAGCAGAGCCAGAGGAGAGGTTGGTCTTTGCTCTGCCTTGTGCATCAAATCCAGTGCCTCTCCAACTTGGGAGGACAGTTTTCTGGCCTGAGATACACCGAAAAACTGTTGCAGGTGAGTATCAGAGCACTAACAGCCAAACATTTTTCCATTTTTAATTTTAATTTTCCCACTTAATTAGCCTATTTCTTTTAGGAAAATCAAATAACAACTGCAGCAAGAACAGGACAGGGGACTTGAAGAGCCCTGGGACCACTGGGTGATTGTGGGCACTTGTTGGGAATGCAGAGTCTGGGACAGAGCAGCTCAGAGGACTCTGGACCAGCTCTCACCCCACTTCCACAACCCCAGGAGAGACTGAGACTTTCCTGCACGCTCAGTGCCAGATTTTGGAAGGTGTCTTATCCCAAAGGATGAGTCTGCAGAGACTGAGTCAAGTGATTGTTGTTCTTTCATCTCCTCTGACTCGCTGCCTCTGAAGTGGGGCTGCATTTACAGGCTTTTTGATCAGAGGCTCCAAAATAAATCAGGCACCCATAAACCCAGAGGCTGCAGGGTGTTTAACTGTCTTACTGATAATCTTCCTGGTGCTGGTACCCTCCTGTCTCTGCCACCAGAAGTGATTCCACCTGCACATTTCAGCCAGACCCAGAGGACTGGGTGCCAGGCCCCAGGCTATGGGCAAACAGCCAAAAGAACTATAACAGACAGGCTGGGGGGGCTCTCTAGGGTAGAATTCAATGTATATTGAATTACATAGGTCCTGTTATAAAACTCCAAACAAACAATAAAAACAAAACCCCACAAAAAAAACCAAACGAAGCAACAGCAAAGCAAACAAACAAAACCCAAACCAACCTCCCAAAAAAAGAAAACCAGAAACACCAAAACCCCAACAACTTCATGGGAGGGCATGGCTCTTGGAAACAGGAAAAAAACCACCCCACCTTTTCCACTGAATCTGAGAGATTTCAATGCAGAAACATCCCTTCTGCAGGTCCAAATCCCTCTTCTAGGCAAAAGGACCCTGGAGGAGCACAGCACTGCTCTGGATGTGGCTGTGAAGCCCCATCCCAATCTCCCCAGGACATGGGGAGCTGCAGGCAGTGATGCTTGGGAGGAGAGCCCAGGCAGAGAGATGGACCTGTGTCCCAGCAAGGAGCCCCCACAGGGATGCCCCCACACTGCCATGACGTCCCAGTGCCCCAGCAGGGTCCCCCAGGACCCCAGGCTGTGATACCCTTGGTGCCCCTCTTTGGGGCTGGGCTGCTGTGACAAATGGGTTGGGTTGGAAGGGACCTCAAAGACCACCTCATTCCAACCCTCCTGCCACGAGCAGGGACACCTTCCACTAGCCCAGGTTTCTCCAAACCCTGTCCAACCTGGCCTTGGACACTCCCAGGGATGGGGCAGCCACTCTGACTTGAAAAGGATGGAGGGCAGAGCTGTGCCAGTGCCATGGCAGAGCCCCCAGGCAGGGATGCCCCAGATGCCCTGCAGGGACAGCAAGGACATTGCAGTGCCCACCACAGGTGATGGCTGGGATGCCCAGTGCCCACATTGGGCTGTTCCAGTACCCTGGTGAGGATATCCATGAGCAGACATCCCAGGGCCTCCCTGGGGATGCCTGGACAGGGATGTCCCTGTGCCCCTGCGGGATGTCCAGGCAGGGATGCCCCAGGACATTCCCCAGTGCCCCAGCAGGTGTCCTGGTGCCCTGATGGGGATGCTGGCTAGTATGTGCCAGTGCAAATCATAGAATCACAGAATTAACTAGGTTGGAAAAGACCTCTGAGATCATCAAGTCCAACCTTTGACCCAACACCACCTTACCTACTAAGTACCACAGTCAGTCCTTTCTTAAACACCTCCAGGGACAGGGACTCCATCCCCTCCCTGGGCAGCCCATTCCAATGGCTGAGCCCTCTCTCTGCAAAGAACTTCTTCCCAATGGCCAACCCAAACCTCCCCTGGGGCAGCTCAAGGTTGGGCCCTCTTGTCCTGCTGCTGGTTCCTGGGAGCAGAGCCCGAACCCCCCTCCCCTGGCTCCCCCCTCCTGTCAGGGAGTTGTAGAGTGTAAGAAGGTCTCTCCTGAGCCTCCTCCTCTTCAGGCTGAGCCCCCCCCAGCTCCCTCAGCTTCCCCTCACAGGATTTGTGCTCCAGTCCCTTCACCAGCCTCGTTGCCCTTCTCTGGACCTGCTCCAGCTCCCGAGGCATCCATACCGGCCTGGATGCCTCAGTGCCCCTGCAGAAGTGCCCGAGCACGGATGATCCAGTGCCCCGGCCGTATCCCCGGGATGGGTTCCCCGGTAGGGATGCCCGGGCGGGAATTCCCGGGCGGGGATGCGGGGCTGGCACTCACCGAGCAGGGCGAGCCCGCGCACGGCGCCGCGGGGCAGCTGCGCCGAGTCGAGCAGGCGGTACCAGCCGTTCGGGAAGGGTGGTGGGAGGGCCCCAGGGAGGCGGCGGGGGCCGGGCCGGGGGCTCTGGCCGGGGGTCGCCCGGTAGCCCGGCAGGTAGCCCGGCAGGTAGCCCACCTGGCCGCGGCTGCGCCGCAGCACCAGCGGCCGGGAGCAGCCCAGCAGCAGCAGGACGAGGAAGAGGAGCAGGAGAAGGAAGAGGAGGGGGAGGAGTGGGGGAAAGAACATCTCCGCGCCGCCGCCCCCGCGCCCCATCGCGCTCCCGGCCCCGCCGCCGCCGGCCCTTATAGCGCCCCGGCCACGCCCGGCAGCGCCCGGCGGGCGGGGGGGACGGGACTCCCCACCCTGGGCACCCCTCGGCATCCCCGGACATCCCTCGGCACCTCACAGGTACCTGATAGGTCTTAAGAGCAGTGTTCAAGAGCAGCTCAGAGCAGCTCAGAGAGGTGACAGCATGGACAGTGGATTAATGAGGGACTTGGATGCCCTCCATGCAGAGAGGAAAATCTATGCAAAGATTGTCTATGACATCTACCCAAATTTCTGTAAAGCTTTTGACGTGGTCCCACACAACATCCTTATCTCCAAAGTGGAGAGTTAGGGGTTTGGAAGGTGGACTACTTGATGGATAAGGAATTGGCTGGATGGGAGGCAGGCAGAGAGTTGTGGTCAATGGCCCAATATCCAGGTTAGAGGCCAGTGATGAGCAGAGTCCTTCAGGACTCTGTAACGCTGGATTTAGTCAGAAGAACTACACAGGTTCAAGAGGTAGCTGCAGAAAAGCCATCTGTCATAGAGACAGAGATTTCTGGGAGAAGCAGCAACCCGAAATACCCCCACAGTTCTGAGGAATTGCAAAGGGACAAGCGACAGGAATGGAGCATCTGGCTGGAGCCAAAGGAGCAACTAAAAGGGTGAGTTCAGGCAGGGTGAATCTCTTGAAGAACTCCCATGAAAGGTTCAGGTAAATATATATGACCTTTCTGAAAGCTGTTCTAGGAGGAGAATGCCAGTGTAGTTACACAGGAAACTGCACACAAACAGAGATCCCTCTGAGAGGGACGGGCTGTGAGCCCTGTCTGAATGGGAAGGAGGAAAAAAGCAACAGCTCTGGGAAGTGAAGGATCAGGGCAAAGAGGGATTTCCAAGAGTAACATTCTGAGGGCATAAAAGCCCATGATGAACACACCCACTGCAGGAAACCAAAGACTGAAGGGGTGATTTGAGGATCAACAGAACAATGAGTTTCAGTTCTGTGCCGGGCAAATCCATGAGAGACTGCGGTGAAGGGGCTGGGGACACAGGAATGAATGTGCTCTGTTGGGAGGGTCAGCCCCTGTGTGCACACAGATGTTTCACAAACACAAGGAGGAGTCAGCAAACGGGTGAGCAAGTTCTGCTTTGTTCACCTGGCTGCTCGAAACACTTTCTCTAAGGTGTGTTGCAAAACATCCTTTAATAATCCCTAAATAACAGGGGGAACATCTCTGCTTTTGTAATTGGAGACAAAATAAGAACCAAGGAGAAGGAATAGATAGCTGTTACAACAGAGAGTAGATGCATTTCTTCCTGGAGAAGCTGGGAAATGGGGTAAAGACATGTCTAAATCATCTGATTAGGATGATTCTAAATTATTCACTATGTTAAAATGTGAAGTTGACTGAGGACCCCTGCAAAAGAAGCCTTGCAAATCTCTCAGTGACTGTCAGTCTGCCAGGGAAGTGCAGGGCACATGGCTGGATCCACAGGAGAGTGTTGGGTGTTAACTGGTGCTCAGAAAGAGACCTGAGCCTTCCTTCACTTGATCTGTGACTGCCCCTGCTCGCTGGTCCACGCTACTCACCAGGCAAGTTCATGTTGGGAATAATTTGCATTATTGCTTTTGTAGGCATGATCTAAATGGATAAAAAAAGTGAGGCCCATAGAGGACAATAATAGTTTCTATTAGATGAGCTGATACAGCTGGAAAAAAGTGGATGAGCTTTCAGGCATAATAGTCCTCCTTCAAGAATAATTAGGAATGTAATTTGGAACAGCAAATAAACCAGAATCATAGAATAGCTGGGGTTGGGAGGGACTTTTAAAGCCCATCTAGTTCAACCCTCCTGCCATGAGCGAGGACATCTTCAACTGAATCAGGTTGCTCAGAGCCACATCCAATCTGACCTTGACAGCTGCACATTTGATCTATCACAGGATGTGTGTAAAGGTGGCACCTCACCCTGGAGTAAACCAAGAGGGGGTACAGAGAAAAGATGGGAGTGATCAGAAGCCAGGAATGGCACAAACAGAGTGGACTTGAAGAGCTGAAATTCAGAAGGTGATTGTACCCAGCGACTTTCACTGAACTACCACCTGACCAGCCCATGCCTCAATCTGGCACTTTCCTTTTAAGCTCATATTTAAGCCCCCTTCGAAGTTTAAAGGAATTTGTGAGTGGGCAGAGCTCAGTCAAGCAGGAGGGAAGACACCAGGACAAGTGGAAGACAAGGGAAGCCCCTGGGTGTTGCTGCATAAACCCAGCAGCAAAAGACTTTCATGGCACAGAGCCCAAGAATTGGTTGGCCAGAGCCTTTGTGGACACTCACCCTTTTTGCTCTGCTTTTTTCCCTCAGATGTCTTAAATATCTGCCTTCTAAGATGCTTAAGATCTCTTACACACTTTATACAAGGACACCTGAGTCCAAGAAACATAAATGATTCTTTAAATTATGTAAACTGAGTATAATTAAGCATTAGTGAGGTAACTGTGGCTTCTGCAAGTTATTATCTCTATTTTTAGGGTATCCTGAGAGCCTTTTGAGCAGTGCATGGCAACCTCACTGACATGAAAGCATTTGTTTAGGGTTGGAAGTAGTGCCTGTGGTTACAGATGCTGAACACCTTTCACCAGGTACAAAATCCCAATTGCAAACACTTCTGAGTTTGCTGAACCCACCAGCTAAGGCTGAAATGCTCCCCCCAGCCAGGTCTGACACATCCAGGAGCAGTGCTCGTGGCAGAGGGGATTCATCTGCTTCAAGAGGTTGAAAACACAAAGTTTAACTCCATAGAAAAACAAGTCAGGGAGAAGTGTTCAGCTAATATTAGATATCCTTAAACTATATGGGACTTTCTAGCACAGCTCTGCATTGGGTCAGGGCTGGGACTTACTGTGGTGACTGAAATGGGAAATAAAGGGCAATTCACAGGATGGCAGGAGGAGAATGAAGCCTTGGAGAACTAGGTTGTTGGCCACAAAAGCCACAATATAAAAAAAGACATTAAGCTCTTAGAGAGTGTCCAAAGGAGACCACGAGGCTGGGGAAGGGTCTGGAGGGGAAGCTTTATGAGGAGCAGTTCAGAACATTTGTTTTGTTCAGCCTGGTGAAGAGGAGACTGAGGTCAGACCTCTTTGGGGTCTTCAACATCCTCACCAGGGGCAGGGACTGATCTCTTCATTCTCTTGACAAGTGACAGGACCCCAGGGAATGGCTGGAGCTCTGTCAAGGCAGGCTCAGGGTGGATCTCAGGGAAAGGTTCTTCCCCCAGCGGGTGGTTGGCACTGAACAGGCTCCCCAGGGAAGCCCAGCCTAACATTGTCTGTTGTGCTTTCCAGATGTGCTGACTTGTAAGTAGATTATTGATAACTTCAGGGAAGAAGATGAGATAAAAACAGTGTTTTCTTCAAAACAAGTGCTGTTTAGCCTTGTCTCATCATGCTTTTACTCGAGTTTTTTTTAGGTTGGTTTCATAACAGAACTTGTGTAATCAATCTTTCTTTCTGTCCTCACCAAAAAGCTTCTGATTTTCTAGTAAACATGTCACTCATGACAGGAGGGCATGGCTCTCTAGGGGACAGGTTTGTCATTACATTCCCGTGCTCTGGGTTTTTTTGAGCCCTAACTCACCAGTTACCTGTCCTGGTGCTTGTGGGAGCACAGAGTCCTGTGCCACTCAGCTCCTGCCCCTACACGTCATATTTGCACAACTGGGCCAGCTTGGGCTCTGTCTTGCTTGCTCAGCATCCTCCAAAGCTGCTCTCGAGGCTGTACAGCTCTCCTTTATCATGTTTGGTATTCTCAAACTTTCATCTGCCAGGTTGGAAAGGAACTCTCCTATTTTTCTGTTCTCCCAGAGCCAGGAGCGTTCACATGGCAGCTGCATGGACTGGGGAGCCCCTGGAGCTACTGAAATTTTGTGAAAACATGAAAACTTCCAAGAAATGGGATGAGGTGCTGAGTACTGAGGTGTTCCAGGCACTGCTCACTGCTGGGGGGCAGACCCAAGGCTGGCTGGGGCACTGCAGGGCTGGACCCAGCATACAAGGGATGCTCTGAACACTGCGGGGGGCTCCTGGGAGGGGGACAGGAGGCCTGGGCATGCAACCAAAAGAGATGTTTGCTGTCTCCTCCCAGAGGAGATGGGAACTCCTGCATGTTTCTGCACCCATCACTGTGAAGATGATGGCCTGGCTTTGAGGACACCGGATTCTGGAAGGGCTACAAGTCCCAGAGCACCACGTTTGACATTGACCCCTTTTTCCTTCCCTGTTGCAGCTCCATTCCAGCTCAAAGAGCTCAGACATGCCCCGAGGTCTCCCTCTCCATGTGACAGGGCATGACAAAGTGTCGCCTTTGCCCACCAGTGGCACCTGTCAGCACCTGGACTCTGCAGGGGGGAGACAGTCACCTGGAGAAGCTGCTGTGGCCCCTTTCCCAGGGAGTTTGGCCCTTCCATTCCACCTCCAGCCCCTTCAGATGGTGGGATGCTTTCTCCCAGAACCAGGTGCTGCACAGACACAAACCACCACACCTTGCAGTGCACAAGACTGCAGGTTGCTGGCAGGATCTGGCGTCCCAGTGTCCCCAGAGACTCCCTGGAGGTTAAGGAAGTGAGTCTGACATCCTGGATGTCAGCTCTGCCTTGTGAAGGCAGCCACATCCCATCAGAGAGCTTTCCCAGGGACACCCAGGCTGTTGGGTTTAGCTCCAGTGGTGGGTTGAGCATGGTGAGGAGCACCAAGGGCTGCAGGGGGGCTGATGTTCTCCATGTGCTCCATCTCCAGTGACTGCATCAGCTGGCCCCAGGCTCAGCATCCTCAGAGGTGAAGAAGTGCAGGACACCCCCAGTCAGAGCCCAATCTCCCTGATCTCCTTTCCAGCCCCTGCTATGCAGCAGTCCCAGGGGACTGGAAGTCCCTGAGGAAAAGTTGTCCCATCTCTTGGGACACAGTGTGCTGGAAGCTGAAGCCCAGACACCTCTTGGCTGGTTTT